AAAAAAAAAAAAAAGCAGTAGTTTGAATTTCAAAGAACCTGCCTTTGAACTTCTCCCTGCCTGATTAGGCCCTTGCGCGGGGTGCGTGTGAATGCGGGAGCGCGGCGGGCCCGGAGGGGCGATCCCGGCGCCTTCCCGGGTGCTCCTGCCCACCTGGGAATGGGGCCCGCGGGAATGGAGCGGGGCCGCCTGCCCAGAGCTCTGCGGCTCCTTGGCGGCGTCTCCGGCCGCGCAGGACACGGGGAGGATGCATGGATGGATGGATGGACGGAYGGATGGATAGATAGATGGATAGATAGATGGATGGATGGATAGATAAATCCGGGGCTCCCGCCGCCCTCCGTGCAGACGTGCCAAGCAGGAGCCTGTCCCCGGGATCATGGRGGGGACCCGGCTGCCGGTTTCCCACCTTTTCCCACACTCCCCAAATTTGTTGCCCCCTTCAGACTCTGCTCTGCTCTCGCCTTTAAAGGGCCCGGGCGGCGGCGCTTAGTGCGGGGGGCGACGTCCCCCAGCCCCCGACACAAAGGTGGGTGATTTAAACTGTGTTTGTGAGGAACACTCTTTTTTTTTTTTTTTTTTTTCCACGAAAAAAAAAAAAGAAAAAAAAAAAGATGAAGTCTTTGATGATGGCCAACTTAGTGTCAATAAGTGGCTTTCTTTGAGGCATATTCAGATGGGAACGTCTTGCTTGCCAATTGCCATAGAAATCCTAACACACCATGAAGATTGTCCAAGCGCCAAGCCTTCCGCTCCGCGCGAAATTGCTTTGAAGTGGCGCAGGACGCGCACTGGTCAATTTTAACTCTATAGAGTGGACAGGGAGCCCTCGGAGCGGGAGATTGGGCGTCCCGGAGCAGAAAATAAGAAGGGGAAACTTGTTTTAGACACTCTATACAAGGTCCTGCTCATTGTCAGCTATCTTTTATCTTTTATATTTCCCATGAATGATTCATGTCCCGGTGGCTTTGTGCTGCCCTCCTTTTCACCAGAAACTTCATTAGAGAGCTATAAGTTTTCCCATTGATTGGGAGCCCTCATTTATGAGTGTTTTTCTGCTTCGCATGTTGGTTATTGTCATCCCGCTTGAAACAACTCTTTGCAACCTGTTTCACCTTTACCACATTTGACAAAACTGCCTTGAAAAACACTCTAACCTTTTGGTGAAACTGTTCTTGACATTTTGACCAGTCATTTTCGAGCCTCGCTAAATCACATGGAAAAAAAAAATCCCGGGCTCCCTTGATTTTTTTTTTTTTTTTTTTTTTTTTTTTAAGAATAGGAAACAATCCACGAGGATGTCGCCACATATCTCTGCCTCGCATTTTTTTTTCCCAACAGCGGGTTTCAGTCGGGATTTCTCTCACCGAAGTCCCTGCCAGAGAAACACGTCTGCTCAGACACATACCCGAACTTTCCTTCTTTTTCTTTTTCTTTTTCTTTTTCTTTTTTTTTTTTCTCTTTTTTTTTTTCCCATTCATCTAAGAGCATGACATTACCTATAGCCTGACCTGTTTGGTTTTATTTCTTCCCTTTTCTATACATTTTTGCCCCTATATCTTTTACTGCAGACTGGAGCTATTTAACTCACTGTCAGGGGAGACTGCCAAGAAGCGTGGTTTTCTTTTCTTTTTTTTTTTTTCTTTTTTTCCCCTCCAAAGTAAATATTAACATTTCAATTGATTTGGATTTGTCAGTGCTGATACTTTGATTAGCTGACTTGGAAAGACAGACAGGGGAAGGAGCGTGCGGATAAATGCCTGACTTCAGCCTGCGCTTCTCTAATCCGCCTGTCCAGCTACGACGTATCCATCCGTCCATCCATCCATCCATTCGTCCGTCCGTCCATCCCTCCATCCACGCGCCTRCCTCGCCCGGGGTTCCCAGAGTTTCCCCCGCCTGGCACCAACCCCTGGCTCCTTCCACGGGCAGCGATTCCAGTGCGGAAACCCCGAGACCGCCCTGAAAGCGGAGCCGAGGACCGTTCCTTACTTACATGTTTTGCTGGGAAAAAGGGAGGGAAAAATCCCGGTTATTACCCCAGGTGCCCCCAAATCTCCCAGCCCTTCCTCGTCCTGGTTGCTGCCCCGCAGCGACTCCCTCTCCTGCCTCCACCTCGACCCTCCGCGGGCGCGTTTGGGGCCAGCGCTGCCTGCTCTCTGCAGCAAGGCACACGCAGAAATAGGACATTATTATTATCATTATTATTGTTGTTATTATCATTATCATCATCATCCTTTGCTTGGTAATTATTTCCCCTCTCTCATTTTTTTTTACAGTGTTTACAGGGAGGAAGGAGGAATTAGATGATTCCGAATTTCATTGAGGAGGTCTCATGTGTCATAAAATCCATGGGCGAGTGTGTGGCCCTACGTGTAGCAAGTACATAAAGAATAGTGATATATCCCTCAAGCGCCAGATTTTATATACCCTGCCATGAAGTAACGTACAGTGCAATCTCTTCTGGGGAGGGTAGAGGAAAAGGACATAAATTAGAAGATTCGTTTATAAATCAGCATCAAAAAAATCTCTAGCAAAATCACATTACATAAATTACTGTTTTAAAAAACTCCGTACCTTACTTTTTATTTTCTAGTTATTCCAATAGTCTTTGAAAAAAAAGAATAAAAAGCAATGCAAATAAATGTTTTTTTAAAATCCCCTATTCAAGTTTTGTTTCTTAAAGTAACAGTTTTCAAGCCTGCTTCTTTAAATGCACCACAACAGTATGAAGACAACGTTCAAAGGCTTCCAAAGTGACAGCACCATGCACTGTACTAATAATATCTTTATGAACTATATATATATATGTACATATATATATATCAGACATCATCATCACCACCAACGCACCGCACAGAGGACATGCAGGGAGAGTCTGTTGCACATGACATTGTCCATTCAAGTAAGCTGGAAAATAGAATGATTTTTTTTTTTTTTGCTTAAAAAAAAAATCATGGCATCATAAACAACGATTTATCACCAGAATTAATGAGGGAATTCTTTGGTGTGCTCTGTACTCTGCTACGGGGGAGAGGAAAAATAAAAAAATAAAAATAAAAATAAAATAAAATAGAAAAGAAAAGAAAACGAAAAGGAGAGGGAGGGAAAAAGGGAAGGAGAAAAAAAAAAACAGAAAAAAAAAAGAGGAAAATGAGACAGAGAAAAGAAAGGGGAACAGGAAGGGGGGCTGATGCCGGAGAACACGCGAGCTCGGAGCGGCCGCCTCCCCGGCGCGGAGCTGGTTCCGCGGGGCCCGCGGGGGCGGCCGCCCCTCCGCGCTCGAACCAGCGCGGTCCGTGCGCGGGCGCGGACGGGGGGACCCCGCGGCCCTGCCCCAGCGCCCCCTCCGCAGCAGCCCCGGCCTCTTCCTCCTCCTCCTCCTCCTCCCAGGTGACTCTGCCGGCGCAGGGGCGCGCACGGAGGGCTGGGCTGCATCGGAGAAATAAAACTAAACTAAAATATATGTATATATTTATTTTTTAACCCTCTCCTCTCGATCCTGCTGCCCCCAAGGCACCCGCCCCTGCAGCGTGGGCGCCCCGTCGGGCGGCAAAGCCGGGTGCTCGCAGGCTCCGACCTGGCTGCGAGGCGGCTGCGCGGGACGGGATGCCAAGGCCACCTTCGTTACCGTTTTCCTTTTTCTTTTTTTTTTTTTTTTTTCCCTAGACTTAAAAAAAAATAGCCGCAATAATATTAACCCCTGAAATATGGAAAATCTGCGTCAGCTTCTTTCTTTTAAGGAAAAAATAAAACGTATCGCAGTTGTCAAATGGCAGCGGGCTCCCATTTCCCTGTTTCCCGGGGCTGTTTCGGGAGCCCTGGGCGCGCAGGACGGGGGCAGCGGCGCTGGGAGAAGCGCTCCCTCTTTTGGCTTCCCTCTCCTGAAYCGTATCCACGCGGTTACAGCCCTGGGAGAAACGGGCACTGGAGAGGAGAAACGGGGGCCGCGGGGACCCCTCGGCTCTGGAGAGAAAGCGACAAAGGAGCTGGATTGAAAGAGAGGAGGGAAAAAAACGCATTTATTTCATTTGTCATTGTGGTGATATTCACTGTAGTCCTACGGGATGCGCGGCCTGTCCCTGGAGCTCCAGCAGGTGCCGGGGCGCGGTGCGGATCGGGGCTCGTCCCCCGGCGGCTGCGGGGGCTCCGCGGGCGCGCAGCTCGCGCGCTGCCCCGCGCCTCACGTACGGCTGTAGCAAGTGCGACCCAGGGGCGAGCGCGGAGACGGTCCGGCGTGGCCTTTATTATTGTCATTTTTTGTGTGTGTGTGTGTCTTTTTTTGTTTGTTTTCTTAAAAAAAAAAAAAAAAAAAAAAAAAAGAAGTCCGAGTCTCTTTAATTAAATTAGTTACCGTACAAACACCATAGGGTTTCGTACACGGAATAAATAGCGCGAGTCCCACCGGGTGGCACCGCCAGCCCAGCCCGCCGGG